AAAGATATCTTACTGGAATTCTCCAAGGTTTTTATAACACTATTAGACTCTATTTTGAACAATAAGAATGTATTTAGCTCTAAGTTGAAATGCTGATCCCTCTTCCAGTTCTGAAGTCCTGATCCAGTTTTTCACTCTACTGTTCCCTCGTTTTTAAATTTATTCACCGTTCTCTTGGTGGTTCTTGAATGGACGTTAAAGGTGGAACCCAGAATATGAATGTTGGTATCAATATTGATGGTCTGAATGGTCTTTCTCCTCTCACCATTGTTCAGTTGGGAAGATATAGTGGCACTGACACAAAACGATTTTAGCCTGTTCTTTTTCTAGCTGAATAACGCAAATGTTTTTCAATGATTCTTAAAACAAATTGTGTCAAGATGGCTAAAAGTTTTATCTGATAACCGGGAAAAAAGAACTCAATTAGTTTAGTGGCTTCTTAGATATTAAAGATTTTGTTGGAGGGACAATTATCGCATGGTGTTACATGATTTGGACAATTTTTGCTGTTACACTTGTTGTATATATATATATATATATATATATATATATATATATATATATATATATATATATATATATATATATGTGTGTGTATATATATATATATATATATATATATATATATATTGAAGTAAATATATATATTCAAGTAAATATATATGAATATACATACATATGTTCAAGTAAATATATATGTATGTATATATATATATATGTGTGTTTCAATATATATATATATATATATATATATATATATATATATATATATATATATATATATATATATATATATAAGCAAATAAGTATTTATCCAAAAAAAATTTATTAAATAGAACCAGTTTCCAGTTCACCCAGCTTTTGCGAGTATTATAAGCAAATCACAAGGTCAAACCCTTCAAAATTTGGCTCGAGAACGAAATATTTACGCGTGGCCAGTTGTATGTTGCATGCTCAAGAATAAGATACCCTGAGAATTTATTCTTCGCTGTTAAAGAAGAAAAAATAAATTTTCTTCAAAAGTATTGTTTATAATGATGTCCTATTAAATTCAATTAAATTAAATTAAAGAAATTAAACCGTGGTGTAGTTTTTTTTTTTCAAAGTCTTTTTCAAAACAAGTCAAATTATCCATATTTCATCGATTAATTTGTGAAACTGAACTAAACGTAGAATTTGTAAATATCGACAAAAAATATTAGCGATAACTTTAGCAATACTGTAAGGTCACACGCACGCACGAACACACACACACACACACACACACACACACACATATATATATATATATATATATATATATATATATATATATATATTAATGCTGTGGTTTCATTGGAACGCTCTAAGTTAATGGTTAAGGTATTTCAGTGTAGAAACTACATCTGACTTGCGGAATATCGTTAGATCAACTGAATGCCTCTCCGTATAACTACTTCATCGATCTATGGCTTTTCAAAGTTATGAAAGAAAAACTCATAGAAGATGCGATTCCATATTGCCTGCAATTTCTAGAGGCTTGTCCTCGTCATCCATTACTCTGGCTGCAAGTTTTAACTTTAAGGTTTTTCTATAAGCCCCCCTGAAATGCGAACTAGAAAACTCGTGCAGATGATATTTAGAGTAAATCATAGTTGAACATTTCATGTTCCCCTACCTTGATGCTTACGACAAGTGCTTATGGCAAGGGGGAGAAATAAACAATTTGTTGTTGCTGGATAATAGGACGGCGAATCGGTTTGATGAAGCTAACGACAAACAACATCAACTCCATCATCAAGAATTTCTTTCGCGATTAACCGATAAAATGCCCGAGATATTTCTTTGCATTTTATCAATAATTTCTAAATATACTAGACTATGTAAGCAAATATATGGATATAGATCCGACGATGGACATAAAAGACTAATCCAAACAGATAACTGAATTTTTTTTTTTCAGTTATCTGTTTGGATTAGTCTTACTCTTATGTCCATCGTCTTTTTCATGTTGAATTGAATATAGTCTAATGTTAATTATGTTTTATGAATATGTCCTGAAGATGGTCTATTAGACCGAAACGTCCGACGTTGACATTATATTAACATTAAAACAGCATAATTGCATATTAGGATTTTTGTTTGTTTTTCCGTATATTTTTCTTCCTACTAGACTATATATGGTAACAATTTTTGAACCATAGACGAATGGTAGACTTGTAGACATGTAAGATAAACTCTCGTATAAATTGTCCAGTATATCAACTTTCTTTGAAGCAGATCCAATACAATGCTTTCATTTTTTTGTCAGCCGAGAATGTTAGCCCTAGCAACCGCAACGAGTCACTCTACTAGAAGTTAGCCTCTGGTATGCTTGAAAGCAGAAAGGTGTTTCTCAGATGATTAACAGAAAGTAGTTTTGTTTTGGAGGCGTTAAATTTAACAAATCATACCTTGCCCCAATTAACAACTAATTTTATGTCACTTTGGGACCAGCTGCCAATTTGACCTTATCGAACCACTCAGATTTACTATTAAGACAGGAATAAAAACATGTATTTTCAGCAATGATATCGAATTGACAGCTGATGCCATCATGAAGGTGATGAAAATAAGGAACAATGTAGGTGTAAGGTCCGAGCCCTTGGGGACACCAACAGTAATGTAAAATAATCTAGAAGAATGGCCGTTTTGGTCAATTTTCATTTCGCGATTTGATAATAAAGATGGAATTTGTACAAAAATTCCTCAAGAAATACCATAAATTTTCAATTTGTGAAGAAGACCGATATGCCTAACCCGAAAATGCCTTTGAGATGTTCAAAGCAACAGCCCGAGCTTCATAATTCTTATCTAAAGAATGATAGTTTTTGTTGCGGATTCCGATGATGAAATTCGGTCTCCAATGAAGGACAAACGCAATAATTAAATATATGAAAGAAAATGTATTTACACAATCATACAAAGCGTAATACTGTTAGTAAATCCAGGAACGCGGTTAGTAGCAAATACAGATAGATATATACAGTCTCGAAGTAGGACTTCCTTAGAGTCTACGTGCTTGTAACTGACTTCTACAAGGGGTTACCTCACTCTATCTCCGTTCGTATATTCTCTCTCTCTTTCTCCGTATATCCTCTCTCACTGACTGTCTAACTCTGGGTATTTAACGGCAGCACTCCAAGTAACACTGGTCGAGTCCACTTATATGAAAAGGGGAGGACCCCATAACAGTTTTTTTTTTCTGCAATAATCGTTAATACATCAAAAACTATATTGCTTAACTGAAAGAAGGCCCTACGATGTGAGTAACCACTTTGCAGTTTATTAGGGCTAGTACTTTGCCAAAGAGGTAAAAGTCTAATAGGCCGATGGTTAGAAGGCTAAAAAAGTTCACCCTGGTTCTTAAAACAGGAATTTCACGTGAAAAAACATTTTCATTGTTTCTTGTAAAGACACAGATCAGTTGACTATTTACCCTGGAAATAAACTGGTGAGAAAAAAAATTAAGGTACTGCTTCCCTTTCGTGGCGCAATGAGAGAGGTATTGCCCATACCAAAAGGAGGTACTGAACACTTAAATGTTTGTAGACTCAAATATAAGTTATCAATATTTACCTATTTATCAGGCAAGGTTTACAGGCTCAAATATAAGCAACAAATACTTATATCTCTCCAAAACAAGTAGATCTTTTACAAACGATAAATATTTACCTATCACTTAACCAAGGAAATTGTTATAAGCTCAAATCTAAATTCAGTCCGTTATGTGCCATGCGTGATATACGCTTAGGTGATTATGTATCTTTCGATACATGACTGACGAGGCAGATTTTTTCCCGCAGTACGTTGCCATTTCTTTCTGCAGTAGACCAGTTGCATCCAAGGCTATAGAACCCTGTCTATCCTGTTATTTACCCATAGCTGGGGAGGGAGAAGAGAATTCATAAGGGTATTGGCACGTAAGTGAATGTAATGGATTCGAGTGGAATTCGAACTCCGATTCCACAATTTACGCCACCGTAAATTACTGAAGTTTAGCTATCCTTGAGCCAAATAAATGCTTACAAACTTAAATATCACTGACCAATATTTACGTATCCCCCAACATATAAATGCTTACAGATTCAAATAAAAAATGGCCACTATTTCCCTGTTTCATAAAGAAATAATTGATTACAGACTTAAATATAAACGACAAATATTCACATTGTTCATATCAAGTAATGCTTGTATACTCAAATATCAACCAACAGCATTTACGTATCCTCGAAACAAATAAATTCTTATAATGTCACATGTAAAAAAAAATGATTTTGGTAATGAAGAATCGAAGACAATATTACATTTCATAAAATTAAGTAATCATCTAATCCAATTCGGAACCTTATGGTCATTGTAAACTCCACGACCATTTCATTAGTTACATAGTATGTACTTCCCCAGTGGTACGAACGGTTTTTGAATTCATAGTTGCCTTTCTTCTAGACTGGCTGAAAACAAAAAGTCTTTAGTCTTCGTGCATCCTTGCCCTACTATTTAACCCATAGCTTTGGGGATATCCATGGATTCATATCTCCCCCAAGATTATTTGCGCGTAAGTGAACGAAACACAACTGGAATGCGAACTCGGTTGCCTAATTTCTCGTTGCAAGTCGCTAGCAGCACATCCATTAATTCTCGAATTTCCTTAACATCGTCGAAATTATTGCGCTGGGAAATTAGACCCCAATTATTTATACAAACGGACATACATGACGTAAGTAACGAGGGAAAGAATATTTTTGTATTTTTTATTTTTTATTTTTATTTTCCTACGTTATTTGGCAGATAAAGAAAGCTTAAGTTTCGCTTCTGGAGAACGATAAAATTGAAAACATATTTACATCTATCAAAAGAGAAAAAATCTCCTAATTCCTTCATATCTAAATATATTGCTTCATTGAACATATCTTTGAAAAATGTATCAGATAAAAAGATACTTTAGACTCTCAAAATCACATAAACCAAAGTACAAGGAAATGGCGAGGCCACGGGACATTTTCTGCTCCTTGGGCTTTCACCGAATTGTAACATCTGGATCAGTGTGTTTTGTCAATTTATTTGTCACTTTTTTTCCCTTTCTCTTATCGGGATTTTTCTCTGGTTTTCTTTCTCACTCCGTAGTGTGTTTTCTTTTTTCTTCCGTCTTCTCTTTCTCCAACATTCGTTCTTTTTCTTTTTTTTTTTTCATTACACACTTGTCCCGTTTTATTTCGTCTAGCCTCGCTTTATTTCTCTCCTTCACATCAAGTTTATTCTCCCAATTTTCTGACTTGCTTGTTCGCTCGTTTTTTATCCCATTTTCTCTAACTCTTCTATTTTACACTTTCTTTCTTTATTTATTTCGCTTTTCGACCCTCATTCATTCTTTCTTTTACACTATTTCTTCATTTCTCATTCTTTTAAATTCGCAAACCATTTCCCTTCTTTTCGTTCATGCAAGTTTTTCTTTCTCTTTGACATGCCTTCTCCTTTTGTATTTCTTTTCTTCTCATTCTTTCTTTCGTCTTCTTTTACACCGTTACCATTTTACACTCATTTTCCATTTCTCTATATTTTTTAATTTTCTTCTTCAACATCCATTCTCAAATTCTCCTCTTTCATATTTTATCATTCTTTTAAACTCTTTTTAATTTTCTTCTGTTAGTTTTTTTTTTCTTTTATATCTACTTTTAAATTAATATTCCTTCTTTCTTTCTTCTATACTCACTCCCCTTTTTCCGTCCTGGGTAAGACGATAAGCTTCATCCGCGTCCTGGGTCAGACGATAAACTACAGCGAGGCCTCTGATCAGGCGGTTTTGAGGAGCGTGGAACCACCTATTAAATGCTGGTGTTCCCAGGTTCATCCTGACCCGGGGTGATAGCACCTATTAGGGTCCTAGCTATGGGAAAATATTTGACCCCCAAACTGGTGTCAAAACACTATGAAAGTGTAAAAATAGGTTTTAATAACAGCAATACATTTTTGTAAAATATTATTACCAGCAATCAATTTTTGAAGAATAAATTTATTATCAGCAATATACTTTTGGGAAAAAAAAATATTACTAGCAATAAAACACTTGTCGGCATTATATAACCCATAGAGGTTGATATGCCGTAAAACAAACTAAATCAAATCATTCCCCTTTTCTCCTTCTCCCACCTTAATTTTCCTTTTATACTTCTTTTATATACTTCCTTTTTTGTCCTGCTTATACACTCATTCTTCTTTTATCATTTTATTACCCGTCTTCTTTTTTTCTAATTCCTCTTTTCTTATTCTATTTTTCTTCTTTTCTATTCTCTTTTTCCCCTTTTCTCTTTTACACTTTGTTTGTCCTTTCTTCCAGTTTTCCTATATACACACTCCTTCTCTTTTTCTCCTTTTAAGCTAATATACATGCTCTTTATTTCTTCTCTTACCCCCCTTCTACACTCATCTTCCTTTTCCGCCTCGTTTACCCTCGTTCTTTTTTGGTTCTTCGATACTCCTTCTACTTTTCTTCTTCTGAACAAATTCTCCGCCTTCTCCATCCATTCCCTCTTTCCTTTTATACGCTCTTTCTTTTTCCACACCTTTTAGTCTTCCTGCATCTTTTACATTCCTTCTCTTTTTCTCATTCCATTCCCACTTTCCCTTTCTCACACTCTTACTCCTTCTCTTTAGTTTCTTTTCTCTCATCTTCGAACACTTTCCATTTATTATTTTTCCTTTTCTAAATTCACTGTTTCTCTAAATGTACTATCATTTTTTTCGTTCTTCCCGCCTATTTTGTCAGCTTTTTTCTGCCATATTTGCCCCCTTGTTGTTTTTGTTTTTATTCATTTTCCTTGCTCTCACATCGTTTCCCTCTTCATTCTCTTTTTCCCTCTCTTATTCATATCATTTCCCCCCCTTTCACTTTCTTCACCATTCAGTTTCTCTTCCTTTGCCACTCATTTTCTTTCCTGCTTTTGCTTATACACTTTCTCTCTGTCTTTTTTCTCCTTGTCACATCCTCTTTCTATATGAATCTTGATATCGGCAAGTGACTGAACTTAGACTTTTAATTTCCTTTTTTTCTGTTATATTTTGTGTCACTACAAGACAGGAACGAACATGGCTTTCCTTGATCTTCCTCTCCGTTACAGCTCTTAGTGATGTTTGCCTTTTTTTGCAAAATCCCGGAATCTTTTTTCTGCCAACCATTTACACAAGCTAGTTAGATAGGTTATGCACTGTTTTCCACTGTGAATACCAGTCGATTACAGTTACATTCACTTACATGCTAATACTCATGAGAAATGTGTGAATCCTCTTCTTCTCTATGGGTAAATAGCAGGGCAGACTGGCTTCTATAGCCTTTGATGCCAACTGGTCTAGGAGAAGGACAACACTGAATTCAAAACCTGTGGCGGGTCGTTTGGGGACCTTGTGGCTCGTAGTGCACCAGGTCTCTGTGTTCAGCCCTTCAAAAAGTGTGGATGGTCCTGCACGAAACCTTCACCACTATAATCAAATCTCATGTACTGTTGTCGGGCTAACGGTTTCGTAGGAACTGATCTGCTTGACCCTCATACGTCGAACTGGAAGGATAATATATATACATATATATATATATATATATATATATATATATATATATATATATATATATTAAAGCAACTTTTGGGCAGACACTTTTTTAAGCCGCTCATCTTTTTCTAAAATTATATATATATATATATATATATATATATATATATATATATATATATATATATATATATAAGCAAATATATGGAATAGATCCGACAGTATGAAGAAAAAATATACGGAAAAAACAAACAAAAATTCTAATATGCAATTATGTTGTTTTTAACTGTTAGCTGTTTTTTAATATTAACATTAAAACAGCATAATTGCATATTAGGATTTTTGTTTGTTTTTTCCGTATATTTTTCTTCATATATATATATATATATATATATATATAGAGAGAGAGAGAGAGAGAGAGAGAGAGAGAGAGAGAGGGAGAGAGGGAGGCGGAAAGAGACAGCGAGTGAGAGCAAGAGAATTATTTATAGTCTTGTACATTTGCACTCACATACACAAGCACATAATATATAGTGTTTATGATTGTAAAAAAAAAGAAAAAGATAAATGATACACACTTTCATAAAACGGAATGAAACGATTCAGATTAATGAATGAGCCTACAAAAGTTCATTCTGCCAAATTTACGACTTGTCATCTCCATTGTATCCCGTGATGAATTCCCAAAGGGCTTTCTTAACATATTTGATAGCTATTTCAAGTAGCTTCTCGACTTTATTGCCCCCTTTTTAATGATTTTTTTTGTTCCGTGAACTCTTCTAACTTCCTATGAATGTATTTTATTTTATGAAGTGTTTTCATGCTTCTTGACATAAACAACCTTATAGATATAGCACATATATTAATTATATCTTTACCAACAGACACACACACTATACACACTGTATAAGGACTCTTTTGTGTTCATAGAAACCTTATACACAACAATATATCAAATGCATTAGTTATACATAGAAATAAATCCAACGGCATCTTTGACCTAGAAAAGTCACACTTATTAAAAAGAAAGTAACTTAATTTGAAAGAAAATTCTTGAAAGTGCCGCTATCGAAACTTATCAGAATATAAATCTGCGCCCTGGATTCTTTCCAATATCTCCTTTCCTGAAAGAATGACTTCTTTCCCAAGTCTCGATACATGGCTACAAAAATGCTAAAATATTGAAAAGTAAATGGTTAAATCCATAAACTCATTTTATACAAAATATATAATTCATAAATCCATCCCAATCCAAAATAATTTAAATACTAATTTGTATATATATATATATATATATATATATATATATATATATATATATATATATATATATAAACGCGGTACTTATTGAGAAGCGCTCAATATCAGTAATAGAGCTAACATACTTAGATGTATTGATTTGAATTTGTGAGCCTGAGTTTCGATAGCAAACTCACATCAATACAATATATATATATATATATATATATATATATATATATATATATATATATATATATATTATAATAAAGAGAACGATCCGGTGTTTTATTAATATTTTTTTTTACAAAACAGTGCTTAATGCAGATCTACAGAGGATAAATTTCAAAATTCGCTTGGAAATGAAACAGAACTAGAGACTTTAATTTTATTTTATAATAGAATTTGAAGTTTTAACTTCTGTTTTTGGAAACATGGTAATTCCAGTGTAGCGATGGAACCATATTTTTTAAATAAGTAAATTTATATATATATATATATATATATATATATATATATATATATATATATATATATATATGTGTGTGTGTGTGTGTGTGTGCGTGTGCGTGTGTGTGTGTTTCGTTAAACTGACAAGGTACTGCAATTAAGATTTTATTTAATTTTTCTTGTGTTCATATAAGTGATGTCTTTTCTGGACACAAAATATGTAAAAACTGTTCCGCATTTCCGAGCGCTTTTATTTTTGCTTTTAAAATTTAACTGAATATATGGGCTTTGTGTATATATCTAGGGTAATAGGGATTTTTTATTTTCCAAACATGGTCAGCATATTGTAGCCATGTTCATAGTTAATGTTATTAAGTGTTGGCTTCTACTTTTTTATTATTAGGGCTCCCATTATTTTTTAATTATTTTTACAAATGGATGGGGCTATGATGCTTGTATTTTCTACTAGTATGTTTCGGATGAAGCCTGGTAGGTTTGTCCTCAATAATGGTTAAAAATATAGCCGAAAGTGCTCAAGAATACAGGACATTTAAATAGTTTTTACACACTGTGTGACCATAAAAGAAAACACTAGTATGAACACAAGAAAAATTGAATAAAAAGCTTAATTGGAGCACCTTGTCATTCCGTCATTTGTCTTTAACGGAAATGCTGTTTAACTACACAATACATACATACATACATACATACATATATATATATATATATATATATATATATATATATATATATATACACTCACAGAAGGTATAATGGAAAATTAGTCGTCATTCTATATTTTTAATTTCGCGCATGCGCGTTGTTTATTTTTGGTTTTGTTGACTGCTCACTAAAGTAGGGTCAGCTGGACACCGTTTGTGAGAAAAAAAGCACCATGACGCAATTCACTGCTGTACTGCAAGGTATTTGCAATGGAAGCGTCAATACGGACATTTCAGAGTGTTTGGGTGTCAATCTGAGGATCATTCAGAGGATCCTGAAAGAGTTGGATGAGTCTAATGCTGATTTCCAAAGTTATTTGAGTGAACACTATTGATAGAGACGTTATGCCTTCATTCATCCTCCCACAGATCCTTGGCCTCAACACGAAACCCTGCATCAAGTGCCTTGAAGAGGTAGACCTGCACTGGGTCAAGATAGCGGCTGCTGAAATAGCCTATGCTTGTTAACAGGGCACTGTACGATGACAAACATGAAGCAGAACCAAAATCATGGCGGTCAGACAATTTCTGTGACTCTTACATCTGGCCACATAACTCCCCAGACACCAACCACCTTGATTATTATGTGTGGGGCGCAGTTGAGCGAGAGACCAATAAAATTCCTTGTAACACCAAAACAAGGATTATGGCAGCATTCACCAAATTAAACAAGGTAATCGTCCAGAAGAAATGTAGAAGTCGTCTCGAGGCAGGGGTTAAAGCCAATGGCGATTTTATTGAATAAATTTACTTATTAGTATTTCAAGATATTGTCTAAATTTGGTAAATATATCTGTTAAAATGAGATATCAGTGTTATTTTAATTTTTGCTTAATTTAGACGACAATTTATACATCGCCCCTGTATAAAGACACACACTCATATATATATATATATATATATATATAGATAGATAGATAGATAGATAGATAGATAGATATAGATAGATATAGATATAAACATGAGCTACTCATATTTGCTTATTAGACATTGAATTTTATCACCTCATGTCTATAAATTGCCTGAGTTTTACGTTTACTTGACAAATATTCATGAACACTCTTATACCTACAAAGATTTTGAAAAACGAATAACATTTTTGCTCTTGTATATAAATATTTGTCACAAAATAAAGTCCTTACATTTTCCTTAATAAAGTTCCTTAGATCACGAAACGCGTCGACTAAGTTTTCCTTTTGTCATATCTATCTATCTATCTATCTATCTATCTATCTATCTATCTATCTCTCTCTCTCTCTCTCTCTCTCTATATATATATATATATATATATATATATATATTACTTCGAACTTTATCTTATTGGAGAACTGTATTTGAAATAGACGCCATGTTGTGATTTAATTTTATTACATCTATCACGAAATACGTGTGATGCTCTCTGTCGCCAAGCGACCTAAAAATTATCGGATCAAATGGTGGTTTCTCCTAGTAAAGGGAGACGCTGTTTCGAAACCTCCCGCGGAGAACACTTTCTTTTTATAAGTTTTCTTGAGGGCGCATGCCGACAAACGTAATACACGTAGTTTAAAATTAAAAAAAGGGTATTTATTAATTTATTAAATTAATTTCACTTGAATATAGATGGCATTAGGACACCCAGTGAAGTTCTAATTGAAAACAATAATAACTGTCTTCATGACTATCTTAGTACTCACATATTAATGGGTTCAATGCAATTATTTTAGATCTTCGAACAATTCTTAAGACACAGGTAATATTTCGTCAATTACTAGTTACTTGCTACTTCAACGGCTGCGTAAGAAAATGAGACATCCCTCGCAAAGAGAAAAAAAAAGTAAGTAAATTTGCTTTAATTTTGTTCACAATTCATCAAATTAGCAACGCGGCTACAGAGACGTCACACTCCAGCAGGATTCTTTTGATTCATTTTGGGGAATACACATTTTCACGTTCCGTTATTCTTGCAAGCCCATATTTGTATCCGAAACTTACACAAAGCAATTTCTAAAGAATTGACGGATTTATTTTTAATCCGACATTTTTATTTCTTGAAACGTTATTTTTATTGGACGGCCATCTTTGAAATAGACGCATTATCTTCTTTTTTTTTTAAAAATATACTCTTGGCCTGTGTTAACGTGAAAATTAATAAAGAAAATGTGCTCTTCAACATTGTACGGTAGATTATGATAGATAGATAGATAGATAGATAGATAGATAGATAGATAGATAGATAGATAGATAATAAGCAGGCTGGGATAGAGAGATAGATAAAAGACTAAGATAGCTAGCTAGCAAGCTATCTAGATAGATAGATATTAACAAACTGAGATAGATAGATAGATAGATAGATAGATAGATAGATAGATAATAAACAGGCCAACATAGATAAAAGGCTGAGATAGCTCTCTATCAATCTATCTAGCTAGCTAGCTAGATAGATAGATAATTAACAAACTGAGATAGATAGATAGATAGATAGATAGATAGATAGATAGATAGATAGATAGATAGATAGATAGATAGATAGATAGTTAAACAGGCTGAGGTAGAGAGATAGATAATAAACAGGCTGGGATAGATAGATAGATAGATAGATAGATAGATAGATAGATAGATAGATAGATAGATAACTGACAGCCTGAAAAAAGAAAGAAGAAATGAAAGAAAGAAAGAGGAAAAGAAAGTACGAAAAACTTCACACTTTTCCCCTTGTCAATTGTATGTTTTTTATTTTATGTTCAAATATTATCCACATATAATATTTAAAAGGAAAATATGTTTTCTAATTCCCGAAAGCTAACGGGATTGGTACATAAAACTTATAATTGTCGCCACTTATCTACTCTTGAGCTATAAACTATGTTGGCTATAAACAGTGTTATCTGCTCCGATGACAGATGAGTTAACTTCAGCCTCGTGGGTGATCATTTTAATATACCACACAGTTGTTTAAAACAAGATAAGAGTAATAATATTTCGTTACAACTTAAAGGAAAATTAAAAGAAATTTTCGCATCAGTTCAACCACGAGTCAAAGAGAAGTCAGAAAAATAAACAAGGATCTCTGTGTGTTCTTGGTCTCACGTTTTCCACTGATCTGATGTGGAACAACTACATTGAATCAATGGCTTCATCTACAGCAAGGGAAATTGGTTCTCTGTGTCGCGCCAGGAATCGCCTGATTCCATTCTTCTACAAATCAACTATTCGTCTTTGCATTGAATATTACCGCCATATATGGTCTAGTGTCCCCGCTGGTCATCTCAAGATTCTCGACAAAATATAAAGACAGATATGCAATGTGATAGGTCCTGACTTGGCATCTCGACTTCAGTCACTTTCTCACAGACGCGATTTGGTTTCCCTCTGTCTTTTCTACAAATATTTTCATGGCATCTGCTCTGACGAGCTATTTTCACTGGTACCCCAACTGCATGAATTTAAGCGCGCTACTAGGTTGGCATTTCGGTCCCACCCTTTCACTGTCGAAACAGTTAAATGTAACCGCCTTTCTACTCCAACAGCTTTTTCTCTCGCACTCCCCGACAGTGCAACCCTCCTCATCTTACTTGTTTCCATGATGGCTATAATATTCAAATATTCAAATGTAATGTCAATCGGCATCTTCTGCTGCCTTGATCTTGATCCCCGTTCTTCTCTTTATCCTTTCCCCAAACACTCATCTTTATTCTTACCTTTACGATCTGTAACACCTTGCGTGCTAGTGGCACTCCCGCATTGTTTGGGGTGAAATGCTTAAAAAAAAAAAAGATATCTTAATGGTATTTATTAACGTAATGTTCCAGGCCAATAATTGGAAACGACAAAGCTGACTCAGCTCGTAAACTTCTCGAAAATATAGAAATTGACCGGAACTTTATGATCGCTTGCAAAGAACTGAAAAGCCAAATAAAGAGGTTTATAAAAAAACAAAATGGCAACAACGTTGGAGTAACAGTGCATCGAATAAACTGCTGCAAATCAAAACCATACCTGGAGAATGGAAGCCAAGATATCAAAAGATAAAAAAATAATCTTGGTCCGCTTGCGTATTGGTCAAACGAGAATTATCCTCTCTTACTTACTGAAAGAGGAATAACAACGAATATGCCCACCATTCCAAACTTCGTGCGATATAAAACATATTTTGATTAAGTGTACAGCTCTTGCTCCCTTTAGGAAAACATACTTCAATATAAACAAAATAAAGAAACTCTTTGAAAGAGCAAGAATGAACGATATAATATAATTTCTCAAAAGAGTGGGTTTAAAGACAAAAAAAAAAATAAGCCTAACATCTAAGAAATGTGGTATCGACACCAACCAAAGTAGTTGATACCATTGTTATGTATAATCAAGAGTGGCCTCTTCTTGTTTTGTTACTCTCCTCTTTGAGAGAGCTATTTCTTTTTACTGGGACTATAAAAGGACACTATATGCAAACCTTATATTCTCAGTGGAATAAAGTTTTCTTAAATTCTACAGCTGTGTACTTTTGTCATTACAACCATATGAGTGCGGTAAAAAATCAATAAAGACAAAATAGCTGATGTCATATGATTGCATTAATAAGAAAACAATAAATAGTTGATGACATATTATTGAGTAGAAAAATACAATTTAAATCTTATGCAATTTAAGTCTGTATCGGCTTTAAATGAACTCGTGAGAAATTGATAAGTTGTAAGACAAAACAATCAACCAACCTGAGAAATAATTTGTATAATTAACATTGCGTATTTAGGTTAAATCCCCCCACCCCGAATAAAGAGCGAAATCAATGAGTCATAATAAAGGGTTCACGATTTGTAGCTCCATACCTCATGCAGGAGGAACCATCTTTAGGATCTTGTACTTTTAGACAGCTCAATTACCAAAGACATTATAGTCAACCCTTTTTAAATGCTCATCTCTTGTCCAGATCTCCCAAAGCCTAATTTAAAAAGTTTAAATTCTGGGTCATAAATGTAAACAAAAGGACTTAGCCAGGGAATTAATTGGTTTTATTTATAATCTGACACTATATAGAGACAACAATACTTTTACTGTTGCTGCACACTTCGACGAAATGTTTCATAACACTGATGACACCAGATGTGTGTTTTTATCGTCTGCACTCAACAGCCGACAAGAAATACGCAGATCAGAGTTCAAATATATTTTCAAAATAAAATCACACATTGATGGATTAAACAGTGATTTGGGATGTACTCAGAGAATATAATTTCCAAAGGGATCCCTCTAACCAACAACCACAAGAACAACAACATTTCTCGGAAGAGTAAGACCCACTTTGTTTATTCCTCATATTGTTGAAAAAAGACACAGGCGTGTCCGAAAATTCCGACTTCAAGATCTTTCTATTCGTGCTTCAAATTTAGTCAAAAGCTTAATATACAGCTTAATATACATATATATGTATTCCTCTAAGTCTCTTTAAAATTTAAAAAGATATATTACAAAGGGAATTGATGAGATATCTTAATCACATTTGTTCTATGTACTCAGTAGTTATAGTTTTTAATAAAATTGCATTTGTGTATTTCGGGTATTCTGTTGATGAAAGAGCTACTGTTAAATGAACCCCTACCATTTACAGGCCGGTGGATTGAAAAGAGATGGCCCAATTCCCTGGCCATCTCGTTCACCAGATATCACTTCCCTGGACTTCTTTCTATGGGGATTTGTTAAGGAGATGGTGTATCGAACAAAGATACGAGGCAACACTGATATATATAGCAGAATATCACTGACGCCATTACCATCATTGATGAGACTATGCTACAACGAACATGGAAGGAAATTGCGTCTTGATGTTGTTTCTACAACTAATGTGTGCCCATATAGAGGTGTAAATTAAATTAGTTAAAAAAAATTTCAATATGTACTCCTCATTTTGTAACAATTTACATATATTTGTTTGTTCATTTGCTTTTGTAATATATATATTTTTAAATTGTAAAGAATCTTTATGGACACCTTGTATAATAAATATCCTCAATCTTGTTGCCAATATTAACATTTTGTTGGCTTTGTATTCCTCTAATTTTATCAACCATCATATATATATATATATATATATATATATATATATATATATATATATATATATATATATATATATATATATATATATATATTGCATTAACTTAACTAATCAAGGAATGGTGGCTTCTATTCTATCATATCAATAAATGTGACGTCATCAGAACATTTTTTTGCTGTCCCAATAACGAAATCAATACTTCATTGCTTGTTTATTGTAAACATTAAGAGACTAAACTCAGTACATACAGGAATCGAAGTAATGTTGTAAAATCTTCTAGAATGTCGATGACGTGTAACTGGTTATATTTCTTGCCCCTGTAGAAAACAAATTTAATATTTAGTCTCAACAAAATAAAAAAAAAGTATCAAAAAAATATACATAGCAACAAATATGTGATTCTTCCGGTGAGTGCAAAAAAGTTATGGACAGAACTCATGACCAACAAGGAACTTTTAAATAAATTTGGAACAAGGAAATTCATACTTAAAATCTGAAAAGGACAATTAATATTTTTCAAAGATGCCTAATAAGGGAATACTGCCTGAAATATATATATATATATATATATATATATATATATATATATATATATATATATATATATATATATGGATCCAAATAATAAATACCAAGTTCTTCCTAATTAGTAATGAACTAATGCAACAACACTCTCTAAATACCCAAAATATTATCTAGAAAAATAAAAAGCAAACTACTTCAAACCAAAAGAATACACCTGTGATGACGGGTGACGACAAACGAAAGTGCTCAGTAAAACACCATGGCCAAAGGTCTTTTTGTTAACAACCTAAACCCAAATATGAAAGAAAAACACTTGCGAGAAAGCAAGAACCCCCCCACAAAGATTATTAAACAACACATGCCTTGATAATATATATATATATATATATATATATATATATATATATTGTTCGAAAATTATAACATAAATATGTTATAAAATCACTACAAAAATATCCATTTTTGTTTCAACACTTCTGGTGTTTTATCAAGTGATGGTGTTGAAAGTAAAATAAAGTGTTGAACCTTTTAAAACCCTTTATTCAACCTTTTAAAACGATTTATTGAACCTTTTAAACCCTCAAACGTTGAAACCGACGGGAGAGTCCATTATTATATATATATATATATATATATATACAAACCCCCCATATATATATATATATATATAACGTCATCCACAAACAGACTGTTTCACAGCTCATCAGTGTGGCTAGACATCCGGTTACCTCTAGCCAGGATCGAAACCAGACTGAATTGGTGTCAGTCGGAGATTCTAACCATTAAGCCGTCGGCGCACGGTAGGGATGAAAATGAATTTTTTTAGCGTATTTATTTTTTACAAACACGCCCAGTGATCGACAGTGACTCAATTCGCATCTGCGAAGAGTCTCGCTACATAGCTATAATAGTCACTGTTTACCAACCCATACCTCGTCCCCAGAGAGCTCAACTGAAATTGATATTTCAGGAGCCAATATAACGTCATCCACAGACAGACTGTTTCGCTGTTTCACAGCTCATCAGTGTGGCTAGACATCCGGTTGCCTCTTGCCAGGATCGAAACCCGACTATATATATATATATATATATATATATATATATATATATATATATATATATATATATATATATATATATATATGGGGTTGTATTAAGTAGGCAAAAAAGCAGAGTGTTTTAAGAGTTAGGGCTCGAACTATGAATGGCGGGTTTGAATCCTACTTTTACCTGATTTAAAAGGGAAGTGACTTCTTCATAAGCCGGAGACAATGCCAGTATGCGCCTGAAAGTCATACACAACCTATTTGAGGGAAACTGGGTAGACAGACAAAACTGTTTGTAAACCGTCGATAATTGTGTTAGTTTCGGCTAATTGGCCTTGTCCAACGGTCTCTGTCCAAGAAATTACTACTCACACCTGCTCAGCATAGTCAGTCGCTACAGGTACTGAAGAAATAAAAAAATTGCCCGCCCAGGTGTTTGCAATGGGAATTAGTTACCTGAGCCGACTGGTCAGCATGGAAACGCGCCCCCACCCCGCCATTAACATATATTATTGTCTGGTAATTATACTTGTTCCTCCGCTAGTTAGCGCGTTCCTACGCCCTGTCAATAACTTGTACATAATGGACTATTCCGTTTTGATCGCGAGGAAAGAAGGAAAAGGACATATCAGAGATGCTGGTTGATTTCAGTGTGAAAAAGAAAGAAAAATAAACAGAGAAGTTAAATGTGGTAATGACGCTGTCACGTGTTTAACGTCTATTTCAATGAAATGGGAAAACTTGTCAATTTCAAGTATTTTCTTTCTTACCCTCTTACTTCTTGAAATAATGAGCTCCATTCAGACGTATAATAGTTATTGTAATCTTTTAAGATTGTTAAGCGCACATATTTAACGTTGCAATGGGGGAAATTCAATGGTTATTTTCTAGTCGTGGAACCCCCTTAGATTTTATTTATTCAATATTATAACAATCAGAAGATTCAAATAGGGAAATCGTGGTTTTTAACGGTAATTACTAGTTGTTGCTGTTGTTGTTGTTATTATTATTATTATTATCATTATTATTATTATTTCATTTGATTTCTGTTATATACACGTTTCCTCCCGGGTCACAACCAGAGACCTAAGATCAGAAATGGCTTCATGTCATCTTTTTCACTGATCATTTTTGTAAAAAAAATTTAAAAAAATCCCCAAATCTAAGATCGAACATATTTTACATAGTCTGCCAGGAATTCCTTCAATGATTCTATCGGGACCCTTTGCAATCAAACCGAGGGCTCCAACTCTAACTGCAATTATTGATTATGTGCTAAGTTTTGGGGATTTACACTTCAAGACGCTTGTATGTTGATAGTTTTTGAAGATCTTCAAAGATACATTACAGTCTGTGGGGAGGACCATGTCAATAAGAAAGCACATATCCTTTTTGTGGGTTTTGATCACGATGTCTGGGGGATTATCTTTGTTTGTTTTGTCTTTGTGCATTGGAAATTCCCATGAAATTGTTACAGGTCCTATCTCTGTAAGCGCGTCTGGGTGATGTTCATACCAGTTTTTTGCAGTTTCCTTCCCGTAAAAGTTGCATATTTTCATGTACAGATATTGCTCCACGCTGTCATTTATATTCAGTAGGTGCTAGCACCGTGAAACCTGATACAATATGGTCAATTGTTTCTGGATAATTATCACTATCCGCATTTCGGTTTAAGACAATTTTTTTTTCCGAATCTGTGCTTGGTAATTTCTATTTATCAAGGATTGGTTCTGTTCAACAAGAAAAAAACAGAAGGTTTCGGTTTTTATCTCAGCCCTGAGTAACCACTGATGGACACGTTATTATTATTATTATTATTATTATTATTATTATTATTATTTGCGCATTGTTTCGGGTATGACATCATTATAAAGTTCAAGTGTAATAACAGTGATTTTAAAAATGAAACATTAGAAAACGAATAACGTATAAATTAGTGTAGACAAAATGGTATTTGTTTTTAAACACTATAATACCAATTTTAGAAATATTAGAACATTGTATAATAAATAACATATATAATTTTCGTTTCTTCTTAAAGTATGGAAAAGTAACGCTATTATTGGCCAAGCAGTAGGCGTCTAAATTTACACTAGGGATAGTTTTGTACAACAGCAAAAGTAGTTTGAAATCCAAGGCATTAATATAAATAAAACTCCAGTCATGTTCATAAATAGTCTCGTTAGATCGAGACTTTCATATGAAATAACTAAACTCTCAGCGGTATACAAACACTTTCTCAGAGCAACGATTAAAAATGGCTTCCAGTAAGGGAAGCCTATAGGTCTAAGCAAGGTCAGTACTTCTTCAAACATCGTGAAGTGGGACTACAAAATCCTATACAAAGAAGTGAACAATATAAAAGAAGTCACATGACTTACGGACAAAATGAAACAATTAAAATGGACGGCTTGTTTAAATCAAAGCGAGAATAATAATATAATTCATTGACTTTCCACACAACAACAAGCAAAAGGTTTGGAGAAAATATCCCAGCAATATTGAAAAGTGCAATATCAGTGAACACGAGAAATGTATTTATCCTAAGAATATTTTTGGGTGGTAGAAATATTTTATAAATATTCAGAATGCAATATTGTCAACTATTTTAATGTTTTTCCAAATATGCCTTTCATATTTAAGTAGTTTCGAGTTGTTATTGTTGTGGTTGTTGTTGTTATTTTATCAGTAAAGCAGCGACAGTAAAAAGCAGGCCCTGATAGGCAAGGGATTCAACTCACCGGTGGTATATTATTTATTTCCGATCTCTGCTGTTTACCTAACTACCGTAAAATGACGATCTGGGATTTGCGATAAAAACGAAGCGACAGAAGAAGTACTAATAAAATGAATGGTTTTAACAGACAGTTTGTGCTTTTATTAAGGTTTTTCTTTATATATATATACATAGATACATACACACACACAGACACACACACACACACACACACACACACACACATATATATATATATATATATATATATATATATATATATATATATATATATATATATATATATATGTATGTATATATATGTAACATTCGAGAGTCCAAGCTATATATATATATATATATATATATATATATATATATATATATATAGAGAGAGAGAGAGAGAGAGACTGAGAGATAGATAGATAGATAGATAGATAGATAGAAAAAAACAGTGCATAATGTAGTTAAACAGAGCTATATAGTATCTATTAATAATTACGCATATGCCTACGTTTGCAGTATGACTCTATATCGTAATGTAAACGTAGGTATATGTAATTATATATATATATATATATATATATATATATATATATATATATATATATATGTGTGTGTGTGTGTGTGTGTGTGTGTGTGTGTGTGTATGTGTGTATTTGCTGCATATTTGAAATATAGTTTTTCCCTTTTAGTTTTACTGTCCAAGTAAACTGTTTACATAAAAGCAGACAAGCACGCTGGGGCGAACGCGCACATATTCATATAACTAAATTGCTCGGTATCTATCTATCTATCTATCTGTTTATCATCTGTTTATCTATCTATCTGTTTATCTATCTATCTAACATACAACGCATTAATAAGCAGCAGAAAGATCACTGTAACGTAAGACAGCTACTTACAAACAATATGAAAATACTAGTAAAATCAAATAATGAAAAAAAAATGCTGATGATCCTCAAATTAATAATTATATAACAAAAACAATGTATGAAGAAAATTATAATTTAAGAGCCCAAATTCCCAAATGTATATAAAACACACACACGCACACGTACACACGCGCGCGCACACGCACACGTACACACACACACATAGAGACGTCACTCCTACATCACAACATTCTTGGCCTACCCCACTTCACTCAGTAGTTTTATTTATCGAGACAGCTTTTTCTACAATAAAAGTTCAATTAATGAAGAATAATGATTATACCACCGTCTCACATATATATATATATATATATATATATATATATAGATAGATAGATAGATAGATAGATAGATATAGATAGTCGACTGAACGTTCCTGGGCTAACCAAGATATAAATGTAAGTAGACACAGCAGTAGACTAAAATACATGCTAGTATACCAAAATACAACAGCTAGCCGACCAGGTATTGTATTCTGGCAAGTATATCTTGGTCAGTCTATAATCTCTTCAGCCGCCCCTTGTATTATATAAATTATTCTACTCATATATACACACGCACGCACACACACATGCACACACACACACACACACACACACATATATATATATATATATATATATATATATATATATATATATATATGTATACAGAGAGAGAGAGAGAGAGCGAAAGACAGAGACAAACAGACAAAGATAGATAGATAGATAGATAGATAGATAGATAGATAGATAGATAGATAGATATTTCAAAAGAATATTATGTTGAATAGCAAGATAGATAGTTCGACGTAATGATATGTGGATACGGTAAGATATTTTGTGATTAAAAAAAAAAAAAAGATCAAGTTGACTTGCTTAATCACCACAAGTCAAACGTGATCTTTTAATAGCATGTTTTAAAACGGAGGAAATATCTGGGTAGGAAAGCATTCCTTTCTTTTTGGCGAATCGACCCGAAACTTTGCCAAGAAGACTTCTTGTGATTTTTACACGAATATTTTTCTCAAAAAAAAAAAAAAAAAAAACTAAAAAAAAGGTTCTATTCATCATCTGAGGCTCTGGAGTCTTTGCTATATTCTGCTAAATAGTTTTCTTTTCTTTTGAAACATTTAACATTGCCGTGACAATTTGAAGAATCAACCGGGTTACTTCCCTTTTCAGTTTCTATGCAAAACTATGCTGAGGATCAGTTGCGCTAATTAACAGATATTAGAAATGTGATGAGATATTTCTAACCAGAGGGTAGTCTTCAATCAACTGATCATTGCAAAGGTCTTTGATCGATTGACATATTACTATTTAACTACAAGTGAACTTGTATCATATTACAGTTATCCTAATAATATTTGTTTTGATGTTACACACACACACACACATATATATATATATATATATATATATATATATATATATATATATATATATATATATATATATATATATATATACAAGGTAAATCAAAAATGTTCTGTCCGTTTTTAGATTAGTCATTAAATGAAGTTGAAATATATATGAAATGTGTGTAGCAATTGTTTTCAAATTCCAACAGCCGGAAGTAGGAGCATCAGACGTTATAAAAAACACGCGCACCGTGCCATCAGTTGTGAGAAGGATGGAAGTGTCTAGAGATCTCGTTCGGGGCTGTTTGCTTTACGACTTCAAAGTGGGCTTATCAGCAGCTGCATCAAGTCGCCGCATATGTCAAGCGTTTGGGGATAGTGCTATGGATGAACGTACTGCAAAGCGTTGGTTTCGAAAATTCAAGTCGGGAGATTTGTCTCTCCATGATGAGCCTCGCGGTGGAAGACAACAGGTCTTGAATGGCGGAGTCCTGATGGCGGCCATTGAAGAGGACAGTAGTCAACAACGTGGTGAACTTGCAAGACAGTTCAACGTTTCCAGTGAAACAGTTAGACTTCACCTGCACCGCCTAGGTAAGACGTACAAACTGAGCAAGTGGGTTCCGCAAACGCTGTTGGAGGTCCACAAGGGACAACGAGTGGAAACCTGCGTATCGCTGCTTTCTCGCCACCGTACCGCATCCTTATTCAATCGAGTGCTTACCAGAGATGAAAATGGGTTCTGTATGAAACTCCCAAGCGTTCCAGACAATGGTTGTCTCCTCAGGATGCTGTCCCTCACACCGCAAGACCGCCTATGCACCCACGCAAGATTATGCTTTGTGTCTGGTGGACAGGTCGTCAAGTGGTTCATTATGAACTGCTACCAACGGGCCAAACGGTCACTGGAGACCTATACTCGCAGCAATTGAAACGTGTGCAACAGGCATTGCGCCAGAAGGATCCAGCACTGGTGAATCGCAAAGGTGTGCTTTTCCTCCATGACAACACCAGGCCGCATGTCGTGCGAGTGGTTAGGGATACCATACAGCAACTTGGGTGGGAGACTTTGTGCCATCCACCTTATTCACCTGACCTTGCGCCATTCGATTACCACCTCTTTTACTCCCTGGATAATCATCTTCGTGGGAAATTCTTCACCAATGAAGCAGACTTGCGCAAAGCTCTCACGGACTTCTTTGCGTCAAAACTCCCCGCAAGGGCATTGAACAGCTGGAGACACGTTGGCAGAAGGGGCTGGATGCCGATGGCGATTACTTCGAAGACTAAATATAAATTACACATACTGTGAAGCGTTTTCTTTTTTTCCTTTAAAAACGGACAGAACGTTTTTTGGTTACCTTGTATATATATATATATATATATATATATATATATATATATATATATATATATATATATATATACTCACAGCACTCTCTCGTCGTTTTCGATGTATACGCTCAGTTCTTAGACTCAACAGTGGTAAATGTTTGTACAGAACCAACCGCAATTTTTGAAGACCCAAATACAGACAACATCCTCAAGTTTCGAATTCAGAGTTGTCCCTTTCCTAAACTGTTCCCCTTCCCAAGCTATAGACTGCCTTGCTATTTATCCGTAGATCCATGGGGTTTAGAGATGGATTCATACAAAGACGTAAAAGGAAAGAGTTAGGGAAGTAATTTATATATATATATATATATATATATATATATATATATAGAGAGAGAGACTGAGAGGAGAGAGAGAGAGAGAGGAGTGAGCGATAGACAGATAGATAAAACAGTGCACAATGTAGAGCTATACAATATATATTAATAATTATGCATATGCCTACGTTTACAGTCCAACTCTGTATCGTACTGTAAAGGTAGCTTATACACACACACACACACACACACACACACACACACACATATATATATATATATATATATATATATATATATATATATATATATATAAAAGAGAGAGAGAGAGAGAGAGAGAGAGGTAATGCAATCAATAGTTGGTAACTGTTGTTGAATTGTGTTTGAATTTCAATCAAATTCGTTACATTCTCTTTCCCGCAAATACCCTTGGGAAAGATATAAATCCATTTATTCTCCCAGCCGTCAGCAGTATTCTCGTCTTCAGTCTTGGTTGGCAGCCATTCTAGGAGAATGAAGAATCTGAATTCAATAAATTATGGGGTTAGCTACTCCATATGGATTCAAATTTACCTTCTCCGGAAACCATAACAACAATGCCGAGCGATATAAGACTGTGGCACCATATTCTACAGTAGAAACTACGGTAACTTGAGTCAGTGCGTGGGTGAGTTCGTTCGTAATTTCGTGAGTGTGCGAGGGAGTAATTTTTTAAAAGAATTTTACTCCAAGCAAGGCAATAAAGCCACTAAAACGCGGGAGGTTACTGAGTGTGAAAGAATACAAAAAAAAAAGAATAAAAAACATTATTATAGAGCACGAATAAAGGAACAGAAATAAGAAGAGACAAGAAAAAGAAATTAACTGGAAAGCAAGAAACTGGAAGAGATGTCCACAAGCGATAAGTCAGAGAAAAGAAAATGGTAGCACAGAACTTACGGTTACATCTAACCAATTCAACTGTAAAATGATGAGATCAAACTGCCAATCTAGTACTGCGCTCAATTTCATAGAATCTAGATACTATAGAGGAAAGTCCACCAGAACAATTAGCATGAAAGTAAACAAAAGGAACAGTGCGAGGTATTACATAACGGCGATGGGGGAAGCAGAAATGCCAGGTCAGGACAAGTGACCTTGTTGAGTCTTCTTTGGATTTTAACAAGTACCTCTAAATATATAGCAGGAGCAAAAGACTCTATGTGGCCGCAATATTTAAAGTATGAATGAATGGTAGATTTATAAATAAGTAAGATAGATTCTGGTAGGAAAAGCTCTCTAGAATGAGTGTCTGCATCATTTACTTTAGAAGAAGACCAAGCAATAGATTCAATATTATTTTGCCACTTCAGGTCGCACGGGAAGGCAAAAGGAGTCACTTTCCTGGAGATTAGCATCAGCCATGTTGATGAAAGTTAGAAAGGGCCTCCCAGAACATTAATAGAGTTCAGTTACGTTTTGGAGACGTTAAAATTAACAAACAATTCCTTGCTCTAGTTAACAATAGAAAGTAGGCTAGATTTTTTTAGATCAGATTTACTATTAAGACAAGAGTAAATATTTGTGTTATCAGTATAGATATCGAGTTTGGAAATGAAGACATCAAGAAGGTCGTTGATGAAATTTAGTTTCAAGTATAGAGCCCTGGGTATACCTGAATTAATGCAAAATGGTGTAGAAGGGTGTCCATTTAGGACAGCATTCATTTCGCGATTTGATTAAAAAAAGAATGAATCAATTCAAAAATTCATCCAGAAATTACATACCTATTCAACTTGTGAAGAACACCGATATGTCAAAACCTGTCAAATACCTTCGGGATATCCAAAGCAACAGCCCGAGTTTCACCATTCTTATCTAAAGCTTGATAGACTCTTTCACACAATAATCTACATCAGCAGTTGACCAAGAGAAACAAAAGCCATGTTGCTTATATGAAAGAAGATCGTCCAATGTGAGATGCTTAACCAATGCAGAGTAGATTAGATTAGAGGCTCTAGTACTTTAGCAAAAAGAGGTGGAAGTCTAATATGCCGATTGTTGGACGTTTCAATTATGTTTTTAAAGACAGGAAGCGCAGAAGAGGATTTCCAGGAAGAAGTAAAGTAAAAGACAGCGAGGCATTTATTATACAGTTTAGAGAAGACTACAGAAGAGGATTTCAGACATAAACATAATGGCTGGCTGCCCGTTTCTATGTATATTTTGGTGATAAGGGGGCATATTTTCTGTCCTCAAACCCCTCATCTCTAATGTAGAAAGAGTGAGGCAGACAGAAAGAAAAAGAACACAGTATGGGCTGACCAACTATTTTATCACGCACCTTCTTCCTCGAGACAATGCATATAATTATAATGAAATCCATCTAAAACAAGTCCGAATAAATTACACACATATATACACCCCCCATATATATATATATATATATATATATATATATATATATATATATATATATATATATATATATATATATATATATATGTGATATACAGGGTAAGTCATGAAGACACTATTTCAATGTGTCTAAGTTGTCAAGCTGCACTCTGTATATATATATATGTATATATATATATATATATATATATATATATATATATATATATATATATATATATATTTGATAATTTGTGTATATCTGCACTCACACACAAGATCCATATTTATACAGACTTATTTATCCAAATTTAATTATATATATATATATATATATATATATATATATATATATATATATATATACTAGGTTTCACCTAATGGATCATCAGGATTATTCTGGCTATATATATCTATATTAATAAATATACATATCATCACTCACCGGTGGTACGACTCGGAGTTTCATGCACAACGCAATCTTCAGGTGATGAGAATATAATTTTATACCAGATAACTGTTCTATTACATCTAGTACTCTTTTATTAACACCAGCACTATAACCGTGATATATATATATATATATATATATATATATATATATATATATATATATATATATATATATATATATATGTGTGTGTGTGTGTGTCTCCAAACAAGACAGATGGAGTAAAATACCACTCTTCGTATCATTTACAAAGGGCTCAATACAAAGTAGAGCATGAGATTATTACTTTTATTATAATCGATAATAATAAAAATACTCTCTTATAATAAGAATTATATACATACATACCTATCTATCTATCTATCTATCTATCTATCTATCTATCTCTCTCTCTCTCTCTCTATATATATATATATATATATATATATATATATATATATATATATAAAAAGATTAGACTATACCGAGCTTCGTTTGAAATTGCTAATTTTCTTTTCGGTTGGATGTGTTTCAGATGTTTAATACACTGAAAAATATTTACTGGTATTTTGATTACTATAAATAACATGAAAGATTATATGAAATAATGTAAAATTGAAAGACATTCTTTCAGTTCAAAGAAGCGTTAAATAGAACAAAGTTTTTTTTTTTCAGTTTAATACCGCGATAACCGTTGAGCAGCAGAGCGAAAATTATTCTTCAGTGAAAAAGTTCTCTTTTATTTAACAACTACTATTTTTAAAGAGTTCTTCAAGCAGAAATTCAGGACACGAATATTATTTAGACATGACCTGGATTTGAACATTAATCTAGCAAAAAGATATTTATATACACTGACGTGTCAAATGCTATGGGTCAACATTATATAAATTTATCTGTAGGAATGCCTGGTTTTTAACAAAAGGAAGAGCGCAATATACATTTTACAAATTGTAGATGCCAAAATAATTTACGCAAGATCGTTAGGTAGGTAATGCGCTGCTTTCCGCTGTCTCTCTTGCCTTTAATATGCCCTCTGTGTGTTAAATTCTCCAAGCCCACTTTTCTCATTATCTGCCCTAGAATGTTCAACTGGCTCTTCCTGATGTTAAATATGCGTCTCTTTTTCCCATTTTATCTAAAACTTAGTCTTTGCTCACATGTTCAGTCAGATGTATTCTCAGCATCCTTCTGTAGAACCACATTTTTGATGCTTCAAGAATTTTCTTCATCTGTGAGGAGATTGATCAACATTCACCGCCATGTACGAAGACTTCTATCACATAACATTTCAGTACTTTTTTCTTTATTTCTAACGAAATGTTGTTATTGCTTAATACTTTGCTTAGCTTTCGGAAGGCATCTTTCACTATCCCAATATGCCTCCGGTTTTCAGTGTCGTACTTGACGTCCTCTGTTGAAACACTTCCCAGATATTTAAATTGTTTTACTTGTTTTGATTTTGGTGTCTCCGATTTGAAATTTACTTGTTGGGTTGTTCCTTTGACTAAAAACCATGCATTCACTCTTGTTACAATTCATGTTTGCTCCTTTCCTTCTCACTTTCCTTTATTACTGTTATATACAGTACCTATGAACACTAATGGTTATGTCGGACACTACTGTTAGTGAAGGTAATATGCTGTCTAAGTAGTTTAGAACTAGCAGTGGTTTACCTACTTCACGCTGCTGGCTAGTATTGTATTTTGTTGATGTTATAAAGATTACCATTTAATTTCCAACCTCCGTTTTGGTTCTTCCTCATTCAGTAACCCTTCCTAGGTAACAACAATTACCTTCTATAGGAGTTTTTATATTTTCCTTTCATTCTCTGCTATCAACACTGTGTTATCTGTTAGTACTGTGGCCGCCAATAATAAACCCTGGTAGAATTTCTAATTCTCTGAGATTCATCTTACTGAATATTTTGAGTTTTATATATTTCATGTTCATATACACTAAACATATTTCCCTAAATATACCCTGGTGGGCGTCTCATACGCGTGTGTCTTTTATACCATGAAATGTAAATATTTTATTACAAGTTAAATGACTTAGATGACGGATTTTCTTTTATGCGACGTGTCTATTTAAGACGTATGCAATTATGACTCTCCACAACATTGTCTCCTTTGTAGTTCTAAGCAATTTTTATCCCCTGTCCGTCTTAGTCTCTGTTCCTTCATATCTTTACAAAGGTTCCTTAGATAGGCTACTCGTTGTTTTCCCCTGTCCTTCTTTTCTTTAGTATGTCCTGCGCGTGTCAAATTCTCCAAGCCTCCTTTCCTTGTTATGCGTCGTAGAAATTTTGCCTAGGCACTTTCTGATTTAAAGTACATGTGTTCTTTTAGTTACCATTTTTCTTAAGATTTTGTCATTGTTCCGTAAAATGGTATTCTGAACCTCTTTCTTTATGTGATTATATCTCTGTTGCCTCCAGTCTCCTCCTCTTCATCTGTGAGGAGACAGTTCCGCATTCACTTCTATAGAGTTCATGTTTACTTCTTATGTCTGGCTTGGTAGTTCCTTCACGGATTTCAAATTTAAAGTTTAATTTCAGATTTAAATAAGCTCTTTCTAATTGAAAGTTTCTTGCAACACATTTTTCTGCTCTTGCTCTGTCATTATATGATTTGCAAAAATCAATAAAACAATTATCAACCGATAATTAAAATTTCCTAAATCACGCAAAACTGCCTTAAAATGTTAGAAAAAGATGATTGTCTAATTTGGAAATTGGCGTGCAAGTGAAAACACAGTCAATGAAAACATCCTTATACTTATAAAATCACCAATAACAGCCGCTATAAATAGCGGCTAACGTGTTGAAAACTTTTTCAATATCGGCGTTATAGCTGGTGTCTCTTATGACAGATGAGTAGGGTTCATTTATTATTAAACATAGAAATATTCAAAGTTCAAATTTATGAAATTGTTAAAAAAAATTCATATTTGAATTCACAAAATATGAATTATTAAAACTAGTTCGTTACCTGACACTTCGCTAACGGCAAGATGATCACAGTTTGAATCTAAAATGTTTGTCTCTCTGAAATACTGCATTTATTTGAAACTATGTTTAGTTTAAAACGAGTCATAAAATGGATCGGACATTTTGGCTTTCTACACTTGTTTTGTTCATGGTGGTTGCCGTCAGGTCCAAATGTAAATTAGCCCTCGCGACGCAGATGTCATTTTCAGTCGTAAGTACGTTTACGTGGGCGTAGGTCTATTTTAATTAGGTTCCACCAGAGACTCGGTAAAAAATTAGCAAACCAGGATGAAAAAATGCCCAAACTTAATAAAAACAAAGTTTTATCGTCAAAATTTTTACGTTAGTATTAAGATGAAAGACGAAAGTATTTTTGTTTATTAAATTATATTTTGTTGTCCCTATTTTAGAATGTTCGAAATTTTGGTTAAAAAATCTAGTTTTTCTTGCGTCAAAGATTAGTATGGGAAATTTTAGCATCTTTTGCGGTGAAAAACATATTGATTTGAAAATTCTTTCAAAAATCAAATAATTGTTGGATTTTGATTAAACTTTGAAAACGTCTTCACAAATAAAGGCAATTATTTCTCTAATGTTTCGTTTTTAGAAAAATTATTTAATTTGACGAAATCTTGAAAAAATAATTTTTATACCGTTTAACGTTTATATTCGTGATACGTTAAATTCCTTGAGGAATTTTAATAATCAATTTTCTTTGCTTTTAAAAAAAAACCCCAAAAAACAGGACCCAGTTACCGGCAATCTGTTCTGAAACGAAAAATAAAAATACAATAAAACTAAGAGATTATTAAATTAGAGGTTTTATTTGCATTTATGGATAAAAAATATAATATAATAATATAGAAATGATATAGACATTATTATCTTAAAAAATTTCAATGAATAATAATTTTTAAAAAATTGCTTTTAATTTTTAAAAATTTAATTACAATAATCTATAAAGTTTTAAATTTTTGCATTAATTTTATCAGTTAGGTAATATTGTTTGTAAGTAAAAATTATAATTACTAATCATAAATGGGAAAGCTTTCTACAATTGAACGACCTCCAATATTTTGAAAAGAAATTTTAATTTTTTTTTTGTGTGTGTGTATATAGAAAAGTGCCAATTTTTGGAAATACAGACGTCCATACATGATATTATCAGAAAATAAGAGCGATAACTATAGTAAGTTTAAAGCTAAAGTACCTAAAACTCAATAAAACATTAGATTAATGAGTATCTGTTCATAAACTTTTAAAGATTTTGGGGTATTTAAAATTATGTAAAAAAGGCGTTCACGTAATATTCCTCAAGAAATTTTTACTGATATGACGACGGTAGAAAAAAATTAGATAAACTTCCGTCTGTCGGTCAAGCTTTCAACGTGTCAACACCTAAAATAAACAACTACTGCCGTGTTAAAAAATTCATTTCTGCGATATTTTAAGCTTAAAGTAAACAATATTTGTTTCAAATCAGATTAATAAAACTTCAAATAAGCTAATATTCTCATATAAATTTTCAGAAAAGTGTACTTTATTTTTGAAAGATTTCTTTAAGAAA